GTGGGCAATTTCTCATGAGACTTAAACCTGTTTTGGTGTTTTATTTGTATGCCCCCCAACGAATGTGTAATATCCAATGAGGGATTAATATCTAAAATACACAAATAACTCAAAGTAAAGAAAGCAAAAGGAGAGAAGCCAGAGGGATAAAGAAAAGGGTAGGAAGAGAGGAAAAAGGAAGAGAAAGACAGAAAAACATATGAAAGTCATACAGACTGAAAGAATGAAAAAATGAAGGAAATAAAGAAAGAAAGACAAAGACAGAACAAAGAAATAAAGAAACAAAGAAAGAAAAGTGGCAAGAGAGGTGGCTCAAAGGTTAAGAGCATTTATCTTCTCTCAATGGACCCAAGTACTCTTGCCTACATGCACATGCACCAGATCACAAATCCCTGTACCTCCTCGCCCACAGAAACTGGCACCCTCTTCTGGCATCCTAAGCATTGTACTCATGTGCCTAAACCCATACACAGACACATACAAGGACACATAATTAATGGAATAAATAGGAGGTGATTCCTGTGGGAAAAGTGGTAGAGAGGTCAATACAGAAACAGTGGAGAGACAAGGGACAAATAACACTAAAATGGTTAGATTAAAAACCTCAAGAAATTGAATTAATTTATATTTGTATAAAAATTACTAAATTAAATTTATCATACACAAAGAGCACAGGTACTTATAGGATTCCAGCTGGATTTGCACTAAGCACTTCTCTGCAATCTACCTTTCATGGTTTCAGAAAATATTCTATATTCTGCCAAGGGAGGAAAGCAATTCAACATTCCCACACACATGCACAGCCTAGGAATCCACAAAGATCAGAAGTATGGCAATACATACATAAAGATATCCTGATTGCCATTTACATGTTGGGGACAATCCAAAACTGTCATCACTGCTTACCACAGAGAACAGTGCTGCGCCTGAGTGACACTGCTTTCAGCATGTCTTCCTGGATGTGGGTGTCACAAATCAAGCCCTCAAGAGCCCATGAAATCTACATAAAATGCACAGAGATATAGAGACACACACACTGACAAACACAGAAATCTCATTTTAACAGGTAAAATAAATACAAATGTGTAACCACAGTATATCAGCAAAAGATCCACAGGTTAACAGAAGAAAAAATTCTACAACTCCATTGAATTATCTTTGTGCTAGACATCTCCAGCTGGCCATGTGTCCTGGACTTGAATACTTTGTGTCTCCACTATGATTCTTGAAGAAAATATTTTGCAAATGATTGTTAATTGGAGATAGTTTATTGATTAAGTTTCTAGGTTTTTATTTGACTCTCAGCATTGAGAGGCCATCAAGCCTAGACCTGTCTAGGCCCTGTCCATACTGACCCACTCTCTGAAGGTTCCTAAGTTCACCAGTCCTGCTGTGCTTAGAAGGGTAATGACTTCAACATACACAAGAGTCTAAATGCTGTAGTAATAGATGGAAAAGTAAGTGACCTTGGCATAAATGCCCAGCAGTTGGGATATGGAGTCTGAAGAGTCTACCTCCAATACCTAGACAGCTCCTCCGTTGGAGTGATGGAGATGCCAACACACCTTGAAAAGTTTCAACCATAGTATGTTCTTATCTGGAAGACCTTCGGGGAAAAGAATAGAGCAGAGACTGAAAGAGTGACCAACCACTGATCTGCCCAACTTGTCATCCATCCCATGGGCAGGCACCAAACCCTGACACTGTTGTTGATGCTATGTTGTGCAGGCAGAGGGGAGACAATCATGGCTGTCCTCAGAGAGACTCTACCAGAAGTTGACTGAAACAGATGCAGATGCTCACATATGAGCATTGAACTGAAGTTTGAGACCCCTGTGAAGGTATTGGGGAAAGGATTGAAGGTACTGAAGGTGATGGTAACCCCATAAGAGTACCAATAGTGTTAACTGACCTCGAACCTGGAAGCTCCCAGAGACTGGGGCACCAACCAAGGAACAAGTATTGACTGGTCAGATGCCCCAAGTACCTATGGATCAGAGTATTGCTTTGTCTTGCCTCGGTTGGGGAGGATAACCTTAATCCTGTAGGGACTTGGTGCCTCAAGGAGAGTGCATGCCAGAGAAAGGAACACACTCAGAAGCTAGGAAGAAGGGCCCTGGAGAGGGGGAGGAAATCTACTGGGGTGAGACTGGAAAATGTCAGCATTAGGGATGTAAATATATAAAATAATAAGTAATATTTTGAAAAAGAAGGAAGAAAGAAAGAAAGAAAGAAAGAAGGAAGGAAGGAAGGAAGGAAGGAAGGAAGGAAGGAAGGAAGGAAGGAAGGAAGGAAGGAAAGAAGAGAAAAAATATTGTAATGTACCTGGCATATAATAATAATAATAATAATAATAATAATAATAGACTTTGATATGTAAAACAAATTATAGCCATTATATCCTGATATTTGATTATATATCAACAACAGTTTTGTGGATAATGAGTTATTATTTAATAAAATGTAGAAATAGCTAATGGCAACATTAAAACATTTATGTTGCATAGAAAAATAAATAATATTTTGATTAACTGAAAGTATATCAAAACATTTTAAACAAATATTTCGTTAAGGATCAATTACTTGAATTCAAAATAAGTACAAAAAGCATAAAATAAAAGTACAGTACAATAATCCCCTACTGGTAATCTAGAGGTGAGCTTGTATACCTCCTAAAGATGTTATTGACTAACCCATGCCTTGGGAAACAGAACACAAACTTCTACTAATGGCTTTCACAAGAGAGGATTTTCTGCACTTTATGTAAGTCTATACCTTGATAAAGAAGTGAACATGCTGCTTTTCAGTTCCCTACAATATTTTTGTCACAAGGAAGAGTCTGAGAGATTGAATGGATTCTTCTCACTTTGGTATTCTGAATTTTTTCTATGTTCTCAAGACTCCTAGTATTCATCAAATTCTGTTTCAGACAGATTTGCTGGAATGTTACTAAGGAATCATGGAAGAAATAAACAGAACCATAAATATCATGAAGATTCACACATGTCCTCAAGGGACTTGTAGTTGAACAGACAATCCTGGTAGTTGCAGGGAAAATGTGTGTTACTCTTCATTTACTACAAGATAACAGCCATTGTTTGTATTTCTATTCTCATTTCAGTCTATAGAAAGGACTCAATTAGTAACCTTCCATAACCAGTGTGTTCAGTACTTAAAAAGAAATGCTGCATATCTGCAGTAATTTCCAAATCTAAATTAAGAGCAAAACTACAAACATATCCACATGTGCAACCAAATTAATTTATTGATGCATTTACAAATATGTATGTGTGTATGTATGTATGTATGTATGTATGTATGTATGTATGTATGCATACTGTAACTATCTTCAGATGCTCCAGAAGAGGGCATCAGATGTCTTTACAGGTGGCTGTGAGCCATCTTGTGGTTGCTGGGAATTGAACACAGGACCTCTGGAACAGCACTCAGTGCTCTTAACTTCTGAGCCATATCTTTAGCCCCCAGAGTAAAGATTAAAGTACCCACATAAGTGAGGCACAATGAGAGGATGCTTCTTTTTTTATAAAGTATTTTTTATTACTTCATTTCTTTACATTTGAAATGTTGGTTCCCCCTTCCTGGATTCTCCTCTGCAAACTTTCATCCCATCCCCCTCCCCTTTGCCTTTAAAAAGCAAATCTCTTGCTTCACCCATCTAGCAGCCCCCTATGCTGTGACATCAAGCCTCCACCTGGCCAAGGGCCTCTCCTCCCATTGATGCCAAAGTGATCCTCTGCTACTTATAGAACTGGAACCATGGACCCATCAATGTATACTCCTTGGTTGGCCACAAGAATATCAAATGCCATGAAATAGTTCAATTTTTTCTAAAGACAAGTTTGGGATATAAATAAGAGTTTCCACAAATAATATAACAAGAAAATGTTTAATATTTCCAGTCATTGAAAAAACACAAACCTAAATTACACAAGAGCTATTTTACCTGTGTAGCAATGAGTACCACTGACATAATAACAGGACCTGGCAGAGCAGTGGAGGAAAAGGAACACAAATTCTCAGACTGTAATGGAGTAGATTAACCAAACAATATGGAAATCAGTGTGGGGTCTTCTAAAGAAATGACACTAAATCAAAACTATCATGATTCAGCAGCATCACTTGGGTTCACTACATTTTAAAAAATCCTATAGGATATACAATAGAGATGTCTGCATCTCCATCTATCTTTCAGTGCTATCCCTAATACTCAAGATAATCAAACTAGCAACTTAGCAGTGAAGGAATGAATTTAGAAAATATGATGTGTATATGTACTGGAGTATTAGTCAATGGGAATGAATAATGATATCATGTCATTTTTAGAAAGGTACATGGAACTGCATATAATCATGTTAAGAAAAATACAGACCTTTTAAAATACATGTTTGGTATAGTTGTTTCAATTTTAGAAGGAAAAAGCATAACTATTATAATTGATGTAGATGTGTAACTATTACGTCTGTGGAAGAAGACAAGGGAGAGCAAAATACATGGGGGAGTTAGGGGTGTATAGGAGTATGTCCCTAGTGGCACGTGCATACCTGGATATCAGACAGTCTTCCTGAGTTAGCATGTGCTAAAGGAGACATTGAAGCTATGCAGAATCAAAGAATGTGTCTCTTGAGCAAACCAACACACAATACACTTTGTTATAACAGAAAACTCAGTCATAACCTGATTACAGAAAAATGACATGGGACAGTCAATGAATAAAAATAAAGGGCTACAGCACATAGAACAAGAAGACAAACTCAAGAAAAGACATTCACTAGGTTCTCCAAAGTAGTCGAAGACATGAGAACCAGTAGTCTGAAATCATGCAATCAAGGACCAATTTATAGGGCTAGACGGCCATCCCAGTAGGAGCAGAGCTGACTGATAGTGGTCAGGTCCCAATATTTTCCAAATAAAAATGCAAACCAATGCATTACTTACAATAGTGTAAGTTTTAGAAGAAAGGAACACATGAATGCCATAAAGTAGACTGTGATTTATTCAGGAAATGGAACCACAGTGGCAGCACTACAATAAGGTGACTGACAGTTTTGAAAAACATCTTCGGAGTGCACAGAATAGATAGCAGTTGCACTTCCCATTGAGCATCTGGGATACTGAACCACTGAGGACAGATCATTCTCAGCAGTCCCTTGACAACAAAAGCAGGACAACTTCAGGGAAACACCTTCCCTGTAAGGGGTCATTACATACACATGGAGGCTAAGAGGTATAGAAGATTCCTCTGCATTCTTCAGAGACTTTGAAGGGAAGATGGAGGTGGTGCTTTGGAAGCACATGTGATTGGTTCTCTTTTCTTCCTCTTGTCCTGATGACTGTGGAAGGCCTCACTTGGTCTTGGGTGGACACTTCTGTTGGCATGGTGGAGGAGGTTGCACAGGAGGGCATTTCTGCTGGTATGAGGGAGGGGGACATGGCTCAGGACAAGGCTCTGGGCACTTTGGGGGAGGACAAGGCTCAGGGTACTTTGGGGGAGGACAAGGCTCTGGGCATTTTGGAGGAGGACAAGGCTCAGGGCACTTTGGAGGTGGGCACAAGGGAGGAGGCTGGCAAGGCTGCTTGCACTGCTGCTGTTGGTAAGACATAGTGCTGGAATCTCAGGATCTGAAAGAGATGACATGAGAGGGTTCAGGGGTGATCAATTCAGAGAAGAAAGATGGAGCTATGGAGCATCAAGTCCATTCGTCTCTCTTACATCAACATTATTGTTCAACTCTTATTTTAGTGATAGTTAGCTTTTACCTTTCCTGTCAGTACTCTGCTGCAGCATCCTTGGAAATCTGCCTGTGCTTCAGGCATTTTCTTAAGAGAAAGTGTTTTGTTTCAGTGAAACAACTAATGCTCTTTACAGATGTAAATACCTTCAAGACAAGCAATCTCAAGTACAGGTCCCCTGAAAAATCACAAAACCATTTTCTGTCCCCCTCATTACCTGCATAATCCCAGAAGATTGTCTGGGTTTGGACAGTAAAGAACAGCTCAGGAAATTTTCATGTGATAATGCCTGGTAAGGAATATAGCCTTTCAAAGAATACCAAAGGATCCACATGAAAGAGAAATATTCTCTGTTCTACAACTTAACAATTGTAAGAAAAAGCCACTTAACACATTTGACTGTAGAATCCACTGCTTATTTTCTGACTGGAAGTAGGTATCACTCATCCCATGATCAAAACTGAACTCAAGACACTTACTCCCTCAAAACTGACTACAGCACATAGAAAAAACAAGATAGACAAACTTAAGAAAGACACTCACCAGGTTCTCCAAAGTAGTCTAGGACTTGAGTACCAGGAGTCTACAGTCTCACAGTCAAGGACCAATTTATAGGACTAGCTGGCCAATCCAGTGGGAGCAACACTGACTGATAGTGGGAAGGTCCCAAAATTTCCAAAGCAAAATGCAAATTCATGCATGACTGGCTTGACTGGGACTCTATAGAATGGGAAATATCCTGTTCCTGGATCTCATCACTGTTGAGAGCTGTGACTCAGTAGGCACTTCCCTGTTTTAAGTTTCAGTAAGATTTCACTGGTTGCCTAAGTTCTCCTTTGTGAATGTACCCAATGATTTTTCTCTCTTATGTTCTGTATTATGTGTTTTATTTTTTCTATTTCAACTTCTTAATATTCTCTGGTGCCTTTGCTCATTTGCATATCTGTTTTCTAAGTATAAGTTGCCTACAGACCGAAAGAAATTATTTAAAAAAGGTATTAAAGTATTAAAGGTTTTAACTCTGGTTTTAGCTTCATCTCTGACAACCCTAGCCTGAGGTCAATTTATGTCTCCTTCCTAAAATATTGACTTTTCTAAATACTGCAAAATATTATATTCTCTTCAAAGCCCAGGCTAATAGTCTATGGTATTATCATGGCATTCTACAGGACTGCATGTCAAATGACATTTTTGAGATATACATTTTAACCCACCTCTAAAAATGACCACAAGACTGCCTATAATGAGAGTGCCAGAACTAAAATTGCACCTATCCTGAACATGTTCTTTCTTAGGTGGTTAACACACATACACACACACACACACAGAGAGAGAGAGAGAGAGAGAGAGAGAGAGAGAGAGAGAGAGAGAGAAGCTGAGGCAGATGAAGAAAAACAGAGATTATATATACAGAAAGACCACCAGTCTTACAGTTTAACCTCCCTCCCATGTAGTTACATGTATCACTTCCTGATTTTCTAAGGTTTACTTAAATTATCATCATATTAATATTAAAAAAATGAATTAAAACTTTATGGTTTTATCATTTTTAATTCATGTATTAGATACTATTAGAAAAGGCCATTCTTTTTTTTTTTTTTTGGTTGACTCACAGATTTTATTTACATTTGTCTACACTATCATTTCCTTACGAAATGAACTAGTACAGCTCAATTAAACCACATCAAATCATAATCATCTGAACTGTTTGTAAACTCCTATTAGCTAAATTTATAACCTTGCATTTGCCTAGTACAGCTCAAGTTTTAAATACAGAAAGCACAAAAACAAGCCAAGGATAACACGTCGGATCTAGAAGATCTGGGCAACTCAGAAAGTCGACTTTCAAGAAGTCTGAGGCACAATTACAAGAGAGTAAGAGTTCATGTGCAACCTACAGTAAAGCAGCAAGGAAAATAAGACAAAAAACACAGGAAAGCTTGTAAAAATATTACCAAAATATTTTTACGTACGATATTTTGTTTTCATCTTTAGATCAGTTGAGAAGAAAAACACTCACTTTAAAATAAAAACATTTTGTTTGATCTGTTTACTAAACATCTTAGAAGGCTTTACTTATTTAAACTGCAGCAGACAAATACTAAAGGACAAACAGGAAAAATAATTCCCTCACAAGGAGCCCCAGCACAACTGTTGTCCCTTATATACTTACCTTGCTTTTGCTGCTGAAGAGACTATTAAGAGAAATCTTTTAACTTATAAACCAGAGAACAAAATGGATCTCAAGTGACCAGATTTTAATTTGAGAAATAAAATTCTGAAAGCATTTTAAGCCATATGGTTTTTTCCAGGTGAGGAGAAAAATGATTTTTGCTTAAATTGTCTTTAACAGAAATAAGAATTTTTCTGTTACTTAGATATCTACGATGTTGAAAATCAGACATCACAAGGCAAATGTTCACTTAAATTCATGTCTCTGTCAGCCTGTCACTGAGAAACAGGTTTCAAAAGCTTTCTTCAATTTGCTCATTAACTATGATTAAAATCCTTTATTGTTCAAGTGCAATATTTGGTAACTAGATTTAGAGGATATCCACATTTCTAAACTTTAAGACAGACATTTTGAAATAAGATGTGGCTAACCTTTTCCTTTTGTAATTTCTACAATCCTCTGTATTAAGAGGTGTAAAGCTGGTAAGAGACAATGATTCTAAGGCACCCTCAGCTTGTTCCCAGTTGTCAGCTTTGCAACGGTAGTTAACGTCTGGTAAGAAATTACTGGCACAAGTAAATAACATATCCAGGTTGACTACTGCTCCCATATGAACATGAATTGGTTATTACAACTAGCTTATTAGCTTTGCCCATGTGTCTGAAGTCCAGGCAAGCCCAGGCAACCCTGTCTCTGTCAATAGAACATTTAGAAATGAAAAGGACAAGGATTTAAAGTAGGAAACAAAAGTACTGTTATTGCCAGAATGGTTTTAAATGAAGCAAATGGTTGTAAATGAACAGAGAGCATTTATCTGGGGAACAGTATGGCTTAAAATGCAATTTACTTTCAGTTTCACAAATAAACACAGTTGCATTGTTTTGAAAAGCAATAAAGGCGTGCACCTCTACTAGCAGATGTAGTACTTCTGACCAAATGAGACATCAACTTCCTAAAAAATATACTTCATGCACTGTACTCAATGTTTTTTAAAGATGTAAATTTTAATACATTATTTCTTTTTTGAACTTGAATGGGAACCAGAATGGGTTGATCCGGAAGATGACCTGTGGTGCCTTTCGGGCGACTGTGATTTCGTTCATCTTTTTTTGCGAACAGCTGGTGAAGAAGGTCTAGAGTGACTCCTCTTCCTGTCTCTTTCAGATGATGAACTCGAGTAAGATCTTTTTCTTGGGGAAGAAGAGCCCCTGTAGGACCTGCAGCTGGATCTTGATTTCGAACCACGGGATCTAGAATGTTCTCTGGAACCAGAGTGAGACCTGGACTGCGAGCTGGAAGAACTTCTTGAACGGTACCTGGACCTGGACCTTGAACTTGAGGGGTAGGATGAGCGTGATGAAGACCTTGAGTGAGACAATCGTGACTTTGAGCGGCTCCGCCTATTGCTTTTCTTTTTGTTACTGTCTTCTTCTTCACTGGCATCAAGACAATATTTTGAGAGATCAGCATCATCTTCATCCTCGTCCTCATCTAGCTTATATTTAGATAGATCTTCATCCTCATCATCTTCTTCACCCTCTGATTCTTTATCTTCGACTTCCTTTAATATAGACGCAGGACCAACTGCTTTCCCCCTGTATTTTTTCTTTTTACGTCCAAACTCATCATATTCCCCATCAGATTCTTCTCTTTCTATACATTCAACATTCTCTCTTTCATTAAAACCACCTCCATATCCTGTTCTTTCTTCTAATTTAGCATACTTTGGAGTATTACACATGTTACACTCTGATCTTCTAGCCCAATTCACATTACTGCAAGTTTTGCATTGCCAATCATTGGCACTAAATAAGCCCCGGCTCTTCTCTGCCAGTGTCTTTCCTATTTCTGTTCCCGCAGCTTTCATCATCTTGGCCTCAGTTGTCTTCTCTCGACCACATCTGTTACAGCTGGTTCTCCTAGCAAAGTTTACATTTCCACACTTTTTGTCAGGGCAGATCCAGTCCCCCGTCACTGACTCGGAAATTCTTGGTCGACATCTTGGACGCCCGCAGCCAGAAAAGGGCATTCTTGATTACACAAAATTTTGAATGAATATAGACATTGTTTAAAATGTCTAAATTTTTATTCAATACCGTCAAAATTTTCAAATTGTAATTTAATGCATTTCAGCAGGATATGTATTTTATTTTCTACTGTATTGATAAAAGAATAGCAAATATACATAATAATTTTCAAAAAAATTCCTTCTGGCTTCTAGTTTCTGCACCAAATTTACTCCATGTCCAAGTTTATAGACAGATAAAGTAGGTAAAAATATTAAAATGAAATTGAACATCACATAATACTATATAAGTATGTAAAAAAAGGATCTAATCTATAATAACTATGAACAAACTTGGCATGTTAACTGAACTTAGTCAGGAAGAGGAAAACGAATATTTTGTGATTTCTCTCATATTTCAGCTTACAGAGGCTTATAGGATGATATTGGTTCCCATGAGAACAGTGAGAGTGAGAGAAGGCTATGGAAAGTTTTCTAGTAGGGCAGTAAGCTACAATTGATGCAAACATACGTTCAATGAAGTTTTATATTGCCAAATCTCTACATGACAGCACTGTGTTTTCACCATAAATGATGGTATGACCAGAATTTCAACTCTCTGAAAAAAGAAAGCAGAGAAGACCTCAGAAAATGGAGCAATCTCCCATGCTTATGGATTGGTAGTATTAACATAGTAAAAATGGCCGTCCTACCAAAAGCAATCTACAGATTCAACACAATCCCTATCAAAATGCAAGCACAATTCTTCAAAGACATGAAAAGAGCAATTCTCAATTTTATATGGAAAAAACAAAAATCCCAGGATAGCAAAAACCACTCTTAACAATAAGAGAACTTCTGGGGGAATCAGTATTCCTAAACTCAAGCTATACTACAGAGCAATAGTGATTAAAAATGACATGGTATTGGTACAGAGACAGACATGTTGATCAATGGGATAAAACTGAAGATCCAGAAATAAAACCACACACCTATGTATACTTGATATTAGACAAAGAAGCCAAGAATATACAATGGGTGAAAGAAAACATATTCAATAAATGGTGCCAGGCTGACTGGCAGTTGATATATAGAAAAATGAAGACAGAGCTATATTTGTAGCCTTGCACAAAGCTCAAGTCCAAGTGAATCAAGGACTTCAACATAAAATCAGATACACTGAATCTAACAGAAAAGAAAGTGGGAAATAGCCTTGAATTCATGGGCACAGGCTGGTGGTGCTGAGTGAGGGGATTTCCTAAACAGAACTCTAATGGCTCAGGCTCTAAGATCAAGAATTGATCATGGGACCTCATGATACTGAAAAGCTTCTATAAGACATTGGAAATAGTCAATAGGACCAACTAGCAACCTACAGATTGGGAAAAAAAGTCTTCACTAACCCCA